GTCATTTTAGAGAAGCTAAAAATGGCTATCAAGGCTCTCGAATCATCGTTTGCGACACTCGACAACGTTCTCTTGGCTATGGACTTCATCTTGGCCCAATTCGAAGCAGGGAAGGAGGCACATAAGGACGATCCTATGATGGCGCTGATGTATAACTCGGGTTGGGCGAAACTGGACAAGTACTATTGCCTTACCGACGAATCGCCAGCGTACGTTGCGGCAATTGTGCTCCATCCTTCACATAAATGGCACTACATACAAGAGAATTGGAAGAAGGAGTGGGTTGTATCGTCGAAGAAGTTAATCGAGACACTTTGGGACGAATACAGACCTGTTGAGCCGCCTCTTCCTCGACCCGAGGTGCCGTCGACGACTACGAACGAGTTCTTGAATTGGAGGAACAGGCCTCTACAACCAACGCGTCTCATCGACGAATACGAGCGTTATTGTAAGTCTGAGCAGGTCTACGGTTTCACAAGCGCACTCGCCTGGTGGCTAGAGGATACACAACAAAAGAACTATCCAAACTTGAGCAAAATGGCTGTGGACATACTATCAATTCCTGCAATGTCTTCCGAACCTGAACGACTCTTTTCTGGGGCAAAAATAACCATTACAGATCGTCGAAATCGACTTGGGAGTGATGTAATTGAAGCATTAGAGTGCCTAAAGTCATGGTTTGGGTTACGAGAATTTGAAGGTGACGATAATGTAGCCGTCGCAGTAGAAGGATGAGGGATATATGGGATGTATTGTAACACTGACAGTATATTGGGTTCTTGGCAATACGGTACAATATCAATCAGCTCTATATTGGGTAATACAATACTTACCTGCCCACAATACAATAATATTGTTAGGGTGTGATATTGCCAATATACGTATTGTTTATATTATTAGCAACACTGCGGCGTAGCGCGACAGCCACGCTGTAGGAGTGCAGTTTTGGCAGCATCGTTTGCCTGAGATAGCAGCAGTCGCACAAAAACAGGACTGGCCTGTTCTCCAAAAGATTACCCTGTCCGGGCGTGCAGTGATCGGATTGGTCTGGTCTGGTCTGGTCTGTACCCTCAGACCAGACCAGACCGGGTGCTTACATAAGGACCGGTCCGACCAGACCGGTCCGGCCAACAAGACCGCCAAGAATGAAGCTAAAGAAAAGAAGGAAGCCGAGGAAATGTGTTTTACTACTAACTATCAATCCAGTCGTCTTCGTTCTCACTATCCTCGATATCGCTGTTTCCCTCAGCTTGGGGCTTTCCATACCAGGCCCGGAGACACTCACACGCCTCTATAATATCTGCCTTCAGCCTACCACGGCGATCAACTATCGTAAGCTTTGCGCTACTAAAAAGACGTTCGCATTCATCCGACATAGGTGAGATCGCAAACATGTCTAGAGCGAAGCGAGCGAGATCTCTTTGGGAGTCGTAGCGAGATAGCCAGTACGCAATAGCCTCATCGCAACCTGCCTCTTCGTCATGAAGCCGGTCAGTAGAGATGTACTGTTCATACAAATCAGTTGCAGAGACCGGAGCATCTATTCGAATACGCTTATGTTCCCGCTGGCGATCAAATGCTGGGTCAGGATCTCTCTCCTTTCTGGCTGGTGGTGGCAGCATCTCGACAGGGTACCTTCCCTTATACTCTGTCTCCCAGAGATGCTTCACCGCTGATTGTGCGTTGTCAAACCACCTCTTCTTCTCTTCGTCGCCCTGGAGAACCCACTCTTGCCTGAACCACGCCCACTTGCGATATGGATCAAGGATTTGAGCCGCATAATATGCCGGTGGAAGGTCAGTATCTTCAGGGAATCGATTTTGCCAATTCAGCTGCTGATTGTTATAGTACTCAGCGCACTTTAACCAAGCAGCATCAGCGCAGCCTTGAAGGTACTTCCATGTAAAGTTGTTATCGTCCTCAGTGTGGATGTCGTGGTAGTGATCCTTCGTCTCGCTTATCTCCCGGAGAAGGCAGTCCAAAGTTGAAAACCAGTCCGCAAGTGACGTCTTCTTACCTTCAGAAAGCAAAGTTGCAGCATAGAAGCCTTTGAGAGCGAGTTCAATCTTTTCAAGCTCGAACCAGTGCTGTCCATCAAGCTTAAAGTTCGCAATCCCTAGAGAGCCCTTTCCAGATACATGACGAGCCGAGAAGTGCTCTAAACGTTCACGAACATTCAATGCACGTGTAATTGAATGAAACCATGAGTTCCAGCGTGTCGAGTTGTTCTGGATAAGCTCAAGCCCGTCGAATTGTGAAAGATCTCCGCCGATAATGATTGTAGCAAACTCCTCACGCCGTTGTGGAGTAAGCCTGATGTATCGCACCAGGTTGTGAAGACGACCCAAACATCCGAACTTCTTCCAGAGCTCTTCTACCTTCGTATAGTCATACATGGGCAAACCGTTAAACGGTTTAACGACTTAATTATGAAACAGGCCTTTACCTACACCGTGCACAGCGTTACTTAGGCAATACGAAAAGGAGCTTGGGCCACAGGTCTGGTGCACGGTGTAACGAAAGGCCTATTCGCGATTGCACGGGCTATATAGATAACAAAGCTCGTTAAGTCGTTTAACCGTTTAACGGTTTGCCCATGTATGCGTATAGTCGCCACGCTGATGATGCTTCTCCAGCTTCGCAAGATACTTCTCACAGTTTCGGCCCATGAGGAACGCCTGGCAACAGAGGTTAATGACATGGCCCAAGCAACGCAGCCGGCGATGGCGACGTTGTTTTGACTTCATCCATGGGCAGAGATCCTTGAGTATGAACTCAACAGCGGTATCATTTGACGAGGCATTATCCAGCATGAAGTATCCAATCTAATCTCTGCCAATGTCGTATTCTTTCAGCAATTCAAGGACCACCGATCCAAGATTCTCCGCAGTATGTTCGCCGCAGACTTGTCAACAATCAAGCCAATCAAGCCGGTCTAACTACATATAGTAAGATCTTAACCTTCGCGAGTTAGTGGATTACTATATTAGGTTAGACCGGCTTGATTGGCTCGATTGTTGACAAGTCTGGTGCTGGCGTCTGACTATTAGATGATGCCAGGGTCTAGAGCCGTCCCATCTGAACATATGCAGGCTATAACTGATATCCACTCTCTTGACCCATCTCTAATGGTTTCAGTAACCTCTCTTCTCTCATGCATCCCTCTGCTAAAGACCGTGAGGCATACATGGGCAAATCGTTTTTTGGAAAACAGTTTAAGCAGCCGTTAGTGTACCAAAGCCGTTTTCAGCCAATCAAACAGAGGATATCTGTAACAAGATTTTCTCCGATTGGCAAAGACAGAGTTTGGTACGCTAACGGCTGCTTAACCTGTTTTCCAAAAAACGATTTGCCCATGTACGACTTCATCCTTGTGACGGTGAAGGAAACGACCCATCCACGCCTTCCCAATTCGGCATTTGGCTATCCTTGAAGCACAATCTTGAACCAATTTTAACGCTGGTGGAAAGAATCTTTTATGCTCATTATTGATCCACAACAACAGCTCTTTTTCTTGCCAGGGGGTGAGGTTCTGCTGCCTTGAATTCTTGTCGTCATGACTCTTGGTTATGCCCTGGTGACGGCGCGCCAGCGTCCTACGGTCAACACCATGCCTGTTAGCTATTTCTGTGTATACATAATCATCATCTAGACCCAGGGAACCTAGCTCTGCAAGCGCGGCAGTGATTGGAAGCATACTGGTGGCGGTGTGGGTGGTTGAATTCAAGGTCGTCATTTTGGTGTTCCGGGCATTACGCGATAGCTCACGGTACCGGTAGTGCAGGATAGGCGAGGGCTTGAAGATAGCAGGTTGCGGATGTGTCTCGCGTTGGCGGATGCTGGCATGATTGCCCATCCATGGGTCACCTAGCTGAGCTGAGTGGCCTACCGGGGAGCCCGGGACGGGACATGCAGCCATGTCTGCGCTCGTGCGTCTGCCTCTGATTAATGCAACAAAACAGTCGGCTTACCCGTCATGTTGCGCGCTTTCTCAACTGGGCAGACCAAAGATGCTGAGTGCCCTTCTCCTCGTCATGCGACTGCGCTAGCTGTCTCCAGCCCGCGGCCCTCCAATTGCTGCGCCGTGCGGCCCTGCTCGAGGGAAAGGTGAGAGTGGTATGGAAGTCGGAGCGGAGACAATCAATACGCGTACCTGAATCGTGACGGATGATCTCATACTCATGGTAACGTGCGTCGTGCCGTAGCGCGCCCAGAACCTCACCTGCTTCCGCGTGCGGGGTTGTGGGGCAGTCCACCAACAACGCCATTCTTAGCCAATCAGGCTTCGAGCGGATTGCTGGAATGTGAGCAGCGAAAATCCGCGGAAAGCCGGTACCTAAAACCGACTACGTGTCCGGCCCTAATGAACATTCCGAAGACGAGCTGCCCCATGCGGGTCAACGCACGCAAAAGCTTCGTCCGAACTTGCAGCAATGGTCATATGCAACCATCACCGCTTAATCAGACATGAGTTTTACACTTTATATCACGGTTTAAGTAATAGGCTATTAGGCAGTAGAATTTGGTAGGAACACTGAAGTTGAATTGAAGTAAGTCTACGTGTTGATATACCGGAATGATCGGATGTCAGCAGGGTTATGGTGAAACTCTGTTCACATAGGACCGAGTACTTATCGGACCGAGCAAGCTGTACGTAGACTGCGACACTTTACGATCGGCTATATACTATCATGGGTATGTGTCGACACTTTGCATGCAGGTTCCGACACATCCTGCCGTCGGTGCCAGGCCACGCGGGGATGGTCTGTGTGTTTATCTAACAACCAAGGCTACGAGAACGTCTCCCGGCTTGCTCGATCGTTCTCGTGCATATCTGCCTCCCTTCACCATAACTCCATTGTCGCTTTTACTTTCGCCATTCCCCACATACTATGAGAGTTGTTGGGGATTAACACATACCGATTCCTTCCTTGGAATAATATCACTCATACAGTTCCTCAATAGGCCACGGCAGGTTCTTCGAAGATTGCGCGATTGCCATGAGTCCAATTCCCACTATTGTGGAGCCGCTTCATCCGCGCTGGAAACAAGGGCAAGTGGTTGGCAAGCCCACTGCCTCCGGCGATCTAATTCTCGAAGCATGGGCAATGGGGTATCTGGTCGGATCGCTTATCATCATGGTCTTCATTACGCTGGCGAACATGCGTCGGGGAGTACTACTGCATAAAGTAAGTTCCGACTACCCGTGCAAGGGCCACCGTTGACGTCTTTTAGTTGATTCTCGCTGAAGTGAGTACATTTAGATGCGAAGTATATTCTTTTCTACTGACGTGACATCAGCTCATCTTGGGCATCTGGCAAGGCTTTTACCTCTTCTTCCACAGTCCTGTGCATGCGTGGTGGCTGTCTGTCTCAGCAATCTTCCTGAATGCGTCCTGGTCACTGCACAACGTCATTGCCTGGGTGAAACTTAAGCCATTCCTTTCTAAACCAGTCAGTTTCATCTTCATCGGCACGGTTGTCCTGGTACAAGCATATTGGGTCCTAGAGATATATGCCAATTTCGCTTACTTCCATGGGGTTAATGAACTCTTCACAAGAACGCGACCCTGGGAAGCACTTTTTAGGGACCCTTGGTGGATATCAACCACCGTCTATCTGTTCTGGGTCATCCAGACCCAATATGAACTTACCGTTCGGGAGATCGTTCGAATCTCGCCTCGTTTCGGTATCATGCTCTTAGCTATGATGATGAGCATCATTTTCGCAGTCCTCGACATCTGTACGGTTACAGGCGCATTGCGGTTCTTGGGCCTAGCCACTGGCATCAACCCTTTCTGGAAGCTAGCTTTCGTCTTCAAGTGTTTGACAGATTCAGTCATCCTGGAGGATTTCAAGGTAGCCCTGGACCGCCTGAGGGCTTTTAAGTTTAGCCGGCTAGGCAGCTGCTCTGGGGATATGAGCGACAGACGCAACCGTAGTCATAGAAGACGGGTGGCCCCATGGGAAGACATGGAACGAGAACTGAGCGTGCTGCAGCACGTGTGCAGTCCACATAATGATCACATCCACCCCACCAGCTTTCCTTTCAAGCCGAAGCAGGTGCACAAACCCCATCAAACTCATGGATATCCGATAATCTCCCCGCATCAATCATATTTTGAGCAGTCAGGTGTCGGTTTCGACTCGGAAGATAGTCGTCCTAGCGCAGTGGAGCTCCTTCCGAGGAGGTCGGCGCAGATCGCGACGGTCTTGCCAAGAGAGCATTCCCATTAACAACCCTGACATTTCAAACACTCACAACCCTGGAGACATGACTGTAAGAGAGATTGTGCTTGAGTGTTGCAGGAAGGTGTGGGCCTCAACTATCTCCTGCAATCTTTCGGAGAGCGGTGCGGCTCTGGTCTCTCTCCCGTCCTGTTGGGATGGCGTCAATCTGGACAGCCCTAATCACAAATCCGATGTGGCTTATCCGACCGAAAATCACGACAATTCGTCATGCCCAGCATCACCTCCGGGCCGAACTATCTCGATCTTCGTCGAGGTAACGTGGCACATCGAGCGATTTGCCGTCATGTGGTATGGTGGCAACCAGCCGTTTATGTTCTCTTTTGGCGACCCACCTGGCTATGGTTCGCATGCAGACTTTGTATGCATATTTTCGAGACCCGCAGGGATTGATTGTGTTATGATGGATGGAAAGACTAGCATTTACGGTAGCCCAACGGTTGGGACGTTCCGACTCTGCCTTCGCTTTCTTCTCCCTTTCGCGCTTCTCTAGGCTGGTAAATGGGTTGGGGTTGGGTTGGGGTTGGGTTACCTAGATAGATAATAACTAAGCTAAGTTAGAACTAGTCTTTACCTATCAAGCCTAGTTATTGCCTATCTAGGTAACCCAACCCCAACCCAACCCCAACCCATTTACCAGCCTACGCTCCTCTATGGCAACCCGTCGCTCCACTTTTGCCTCCTCCGCCCTCTTTTTCTTATACAAGGTTACCGCCACTTTCAGCTGTCTTGCCTCACTCTTCTAGAGTTTTCCTTGTTCAACTTTATGTTGTGTAACCGCATCGCGAGCGCGCGCCTCTCGGAGCTTTCGAGGACTCCAGAAAACTGCACCGCCGTGGTACTCCTGCCTCTGTTGCAAGTCAAGCGTCTTTCTCTTCTTTTTGTGCTTGTTTTTGGTGTTGAGCGCGCTGCGCGTAGGCCGTCGTTTTCGAGGTGAAGAAGCTCGTTATGGGTCTGTAGAGAGTGCAATGAAACCGAGAGACGTTTGGCTTCAACTTTTGCCTTGTCCGCCACCGCAGCGTCAAAAACTTTTCGTAGCTTAGTCCCGCTATCCCTATCTCCGTGCTCTCCAATTTCTGTGTCCCTGTCTTGCTCCGAAGTGTGGTTGTTAAAGCACTTTAGTACAGCCTCCGCATCCATCGGCAACACGCCTATAGCTTGAAAACACTTCATTATGGTATCCAGCTTCATTGTGGAGCCCCAGGCGGCCCAAAAGATGGGAAAGAAGTCGCCTTTCTTGACGCCGATTAGGCCTTGCGATCGATGAAGATGATGGTTAAGTTCTTGAAAATAATTGGACGAAGGAGGAGCGAACAGCACTACGTCGAGCGGCTGAAGACTGTGGGGCGAAAAATAGCCAAGAGGATCTTGTTGCTGTTGCAAAAATCTATAAAATCAGTGGTAAGGTGGCTGCCGTGGCCGTCGAGGATCAGGAGTCGTCATTGCCGTCTTGATTTCTGCTTCGTGAAGCGCTCAAATACCTGTTCAAGCCAGGCAATCCCATGAATCTGGCGAAGCTGTCTTACGCAAGATGATGAGTTCTGAGTTGGATCTTCATCTCTTTCAGCGTTCCACCGTGGACGACCCTGTAACGTCTATTATCGAACGATTATACGATCAACGAACACTAAAGTCCCTCCCTGTGTGCCGGAAAACTCCGTGTGCAGGAAACAGCCAATAAGACACAGCACTGTGTTGGGAAATATGCTACAGTACTAAGCCAAAAGTCTGTTCGCGCTAAACGCACGGGCCCAAGAACAACATGAGATCACAAGACGGGTATCTTCTGCAACACCACACAACTCCATCAATATGAGGTCTTTTGGCACTGAAATTTAGGGCAATCGAATGCCTGGAGGTGAATTATCAGAAGCGCAACGCGTATATATCTTAGCCCAGGTTGACGCTGGTCTATCGACGCGCGAAACCAGTGAGACACTCGGTTGTACACAACGCGCTGTACAGAAGATGATCGCGCGATGGAAATCGACTGCCTACCACACCAAGAACGATCGTATGGGCCGCCCACCTATTTTAACTAGTAGAGATCATCGTCGGCTTCTTATCATCGTAAAGAAAGATCCTACAATCGAGCACAGCGCTCTCCGTACAGCCGCGGGCCTTGACGGTAATAGGACGACACCACCAGTTTCATTTCGAACTATCGCCCGCGCACTTGCAAGTACAAACTACTTCAAGTACAGAGCCGCCCGGAGGCCTAAAATCAACGCAACTACTGCCAAACTTCGCCGTGAATGGGCTCTACAATGGGCTAGTTTCGACTGGGATCGTACTACTCTAAAGTTCAGCGATGAGTGCAGCATTGCCCGCGGATCTGGCCGCAATCCTTGCTGGGTTTGGCGTTTACCAGCGAACAAATGGAGGCATGAGATGGTAGAAGAGAAGGAGACTAGCCAGCAGCCAGCTCGCATGGTTTGGGCCTCAATTTGGATGACTCCAGAGGGTAGAATTGGGCGTAGTCCTCTAGTAATCATGACCCGCGACGCATCAGCAAAGCGCAACGGGTATACAAGCCTCAGCTACACTAGGGCTCTCGAGGAAGGACTCCGCGATTACTACAGACCGGGCGAGTTGTTTATGCAGGATAACGCACCAATACACACTGCCCATCACTTGAGGGAGTGGTTAGAGCTTCATGGTGTTCATACTATCGATTGGCCACCATACTCACCCGATCTTAACCCTATAGAACACTTGTGGTGGAGACTTAAAAAGGAACTCTATAAGCGCAAACCTCATCTCGATCATATGGGAGGCTCAGAAAGTGAGTGGGCTGAGTTTGAGATGGGCTTGAAGGAGGCGTGGGTTGCTATACCCGAAAAACTGGTGCGCAGCCTCATTACGTCTATGCCGCGACGTATCAACGCAGTTCTTCAAGCAAGAGGGTACCAGACACGATATTGAGGCAATTACTATCATTTCTGTCGTTTCAGAATTTCATTTGGAGCTCTTTTGATAGAGTTGCGTTGAGTTGAAATCTATGAGATTTTCTGGGTTCGTGGCCCGTGCGTTTAGCGCGAACAGACTTTTGGCGAGGCACTGTATATTCAGTGAACTTACAGATCTTCGACACAGAGTAAGCCTCCTCAGTGATTTCATGGCATACAGCGCTGATTGCACGAGTAGGGATGGGAGAATCTGCAAGGAGACAATCACTTCAGAGTACAGCGCTACCGAGCAGATAATGCGGACGAGTTCGGCAAACGCATATTTTACAACATGATGTGCCAAATTGGTGACGAACTTCATGAGATGACTTCAGCTCTGCTATCAACTTCATCACTTACCAGAAATCCCGCTAATCTCGATCTCTGTATGGCACCTGGTGGCTTCACAGCCTCTGTCCTCAAAAGAAACTGCGATGCTAGGGTGTGCGGGATTAGTCTCCCCATCTCTCACGGCGGTCATAAGATGATGCTTTCTAATTGGCGAAAAAGACTCGAGAATACAAGTCCGCTTCCTCGATATCACAATGTTGGCGGCCGAAATGGATGTTACCGACATTCCAGTGGAACACTCTGATGCTAGAAACTTTATGTTCGACCTTCCCTTTTATGGAGAAGCTTTCGATTTGGTTTTCTGCGATGGTCAAGTCCTGCGGACGCATTCCAGAGCGGAGTATCGCGAGAAACGTGAAGCATGGCGGCTGATGACAAGTCAACTTGTATTCGCGCTTCAGCGTGTCAAAGAAAACAGCAAAATCGTGGTCCTACTACATAAGCTCGACGCTTGGGATACAGTATATCTCCTGTACACTTTGAGAAAATTCTCATCGCTCCAACTGTTCAAGCCGCGCAGGAAACATGCGATAAGATCCTCGTTCTACTTTGTTGCTGAACAGATCGAACCGGAGAGCCCATGGCTTCAAGTATCTGTAACCGCCTGGAAGAAGGAGTGGTACATCGCAACGTTTGGATGTGATACAGAGTATAGGGACAACCGGTCCAAGTTTCAGGGTACTGTAGATGAAGTGTTGTCGGATTTCGGTACGGAGTTGTTAGAACTAGGGCAGTCTATCTGGGAAGTACAGAGTGCTGCACTTCGCGAGTCTTCGTTCCTCACGTAAAATTCCTACGTTAAAAGTACGCGCACAACAGTAGCAGCAGTTCGTAGTGACGTAGCTTTACAGGAGCCATACTTCGCTCAAACGTTTCGTCAAAATTATTGAGCATGAGAGTCCTTGCGTGAATCTCCTCAAACCCTATCGAAGGTGGCGACGGGCAGTGCTGTATTCGGTATTCAATACTCAATATGACCTCATATTGAAAAAGATCAATATTGAAAAAGATCAATATTGAAAAAGTCCGTATTGAGTATTGAGTATTGAGTATTGAGTATTGAGTATTGAATATATTGAAAACATATTGAGAATATTGAATATATTGAGGTCCTTGGCTAGGAACGATAAGGCTTTCTAAGTGAAATCCATCGTCTCTTGCAACCCGCTGCATTCAGCCCCTACTTCGTCTGCTACTTCTATCTCGCCTTCTTCCAGAGGTAGATCGACGTTGAGTTCGTCAAGCCAGCCCTTCCGTAGCCAGTGTTTTAGACACTCCATCTGCTCAATTGTTTTCGCTCCTAAGCTGGCCCTGCTCCATGGTATTTGACGTCGCGCGCCCGGGAAGACTCGCTCTGCTTCTGCTGACATTGCTGGTACGGAAAGGACATCAATTGCCATATGAGAAAGTTGTGGGTATCGTGTTCGTTGCTGCTCTTGACACCACCATTCCAGCGCAGTCTTAGTAGAGATCTCGGTAGGATCGGCTTCGATGAAAGACTCCCAATCGTCGGCGAACTTTTGAACCACGTTCAGATCTCGCTCTAGAAGATCATATTCGTCCGGCTCGTAGGTCGGTTGCGACAAGGTTAGAGCACTAGCTTCGTCGATCACAGCATATTTCTCTTCCCAGAGATTCTTGAGCTTTGGCAGTACTGCTCTAGCCCAAGACTTCTTCCAATTCATATCAATATAGCGCTTTCGCCTTGAAGGATGCAGAAGCAAAGCTGCAGCATAAGCTGGTACCTGATCGGTCAGGCTGTAGTACTTGTCGAAGGAATACCAAGCCATTAGAACTGCGTTTTGAAACTGGGCATTGTTTGCATGCTTGTTCTTCTGCTTCTCTAAGTGCTTAACAAGGATGTCCATTGTCACCAAGGTTTTCTCAATGGAATCAAGGTCGGATTGAGTTCCCGTCGTAACTTTCTCAAAAGGCTTAAGAAAGACGATAATCTCGCGCAGAGTCTCCCAATCGTCAGGTGTAAGTGCGTGCTTCCCGATCGCCTTCCAGTGGTTCTTGACAAAGGTATCGACATGACCTTCAAGCTCACAAGCAACTATATTCATAGTATGCCAGCTATTCCATCGGGTATCGTTGTCCATAGGTATCATGCGACCCACGGCATTAAGGAATTCGTTGTAGAGAAGTTCAGAACTTCTCATATAAGCGACAATCGCGTGAAGCTTTCCCAGCGGCCCAGCATCCTTCCAACTAAGCCCTTTCTTCTTTTTTGACGCTGCTGAAAGCCTGGCCTCCTCATCATACTCATGATCCTCATCAAAACTACCATTCAGATCGTCTTCATCTAGAGACCCCCCTTCTTGTCTAATGCTATTCACTACCGCATCAATCGTCTCTTTATCAGGAGCAAAAATGAAAGCTTGACTAGCCAAGTTGATGACGTGGCCGTGGCAGCGAATCCGGTGAACCTCTGGATCCCAATCAACTTGATATCGTTGCTGAAGATGGCTTGAGATAAAGCGACAGCACTTGTCGTTGGAGCCATGATTGTCGCCGGTATAATATCCAAGTTTATGAGCAATCTCATACCAGTCTATCATCCTATTCACATGCTCTGCTTGGAGTTGACCGCCATGACTTCCGAGCAACTGTGGTAGGCCTAAAAGAGCTGTGCGATAGTTCCCTTCGGCATCAACAAAGTGCGCAACAACGCCTAGGAAAGCCTTCTTCTTATACTCAGTTGTCCAGACATCACAGGCGAGATGTATCTCAGAAAGTGCGGAGTGGAGTTGTTGTTTTATTTCAGCTTTCGTCCGTACAAAGGAGTGGTCCATTTTCTTTGGTATCATGGCTCGAGACTTTGGGTAAACATCTGCTGCCATATAATTGACACTCGTGATCAGGGAGTATAGCTCCGGATACTCCACTAACTTATGTGGAAGATTGTTGTTAACGATAAGCTGCAATAGAGATTCTTCGAAGACCTTGGTATTGATAGCGTTCTTGAGTACTTTTCGCTCGCGTTCATCATTCTGGGCTTGTTGTTTCTCGCCCTGCCGTCGCAGAATCTGCTCAAGCTTCGCCTGTCCCTTTGTCACAACCTGTGACTGCTGTGGTTTTACCTTGATGCCGTGCGTACGATCAAGATGGTTTCGAGCGGAAGTTAGAGAAGCTGATTCCCATGAGCATTTATTACAAGCCCATATCCTATTGCCATAGCGATCACGTCGGACTTGCTCATCTCGCTCGAACTTCTTCGCGTGGCTCCAAGTCTCTCGAGCGGTTTGGGTACGCTTCTTGGTTCCGCGACCGGAAGAAGTTCTGCTCTCGGTAGTAGCCGTAGAACCGGGGCTCTCTGCGTGCAAGAAGTTGGCGGGTGGAGAAGAACCGGGACCTGAGAGCTGAGAGGTGGTGCCGTCGTCCATTTCGATGTCGTTATGTGTCATACCTGTCAAAAACTTGGGGGGTGTAAGAGTTATCGTATTGTCAAGGTGAGACCTAAGACTAAGTACTGACGCTAATTAGTCATGCAACATCAGTCACATGACCACTGTCTTCATCGCCCATCCTGACAATACCGAGGTTGAGAAAGTACGTTATTTCGTGGTTCTGAATGTGTGAGAATTTTATTGGTAAAGCTCTGAGGTCCGAAGTTGTTCCGAGTAGCGAGTTGCATGCTTGAATTCAATATTCTCAATATTCTCAATATCCTCAATATTTCCTCAATATTGGAGAACTCCATATTGGAGAACTCCATATTGAAGAATCAATATTGAAAAAATCAATATTGAAAAAAATCAATATTTTCAATATATACTGAAATATTGACAGGGGTTTTTCAATACCGAATACACCACTGGCGACGGGGCACCAGTCTTTCGAAATAGGGTTCAAACGGCAATAAACAAGACTATCTGATAACAACTAAGTATGCTGTAGCACTGACGATGGCATGCCAGATGTCTGGGAGGTGATTCGCATGAGAGGCGATTCTGTTCAGCCTGAGGGCTCGTAGATGCGGGACTTTGCAAACACTGCTGGGTGGTAGTGTTCTGATCAGGAAGTCAACCAATGACTGTGTTGACGCTTATTTGAATTGTGACCGTTGTACTCAAAGGGATGTCTATGCTCCGTGGTTGCGGCTTGCATTGATGTTTCATGGCTACAATCATCCGTAACTATACTGACATGTAATTCAAACGTATGAGGTACATGTATTCGACAAAAGAGGTCAAAATACCCCAAACCGTGAGAACGTTATACCATGAGTATCCTCTTCGCCTAGGCTGGCGAAAAACCCCTGTTTTGGGTCTGACGTAAGCAGAACACCAAAACCCTTGTAGCTACGCATCAAAGCGAGCTCTTAATCAAATCTTTCAAAACTTTAATATACTATACCTATAGCTGATATCTATCTCTATAAAAATTTCTAGCTAGATATCTCGACCACTTGCTTTCTTGCGCGGCTGTAAAAGTTTTGGTGTTCTGCTTACGTCAGACCCAAAACAGGGGTTTTTCGCTAGCCTAGGTAGACCCATCCTGAGGACTTGTTCTTACATGAATGCTGAAGCTCTGCGCGTCGAGCCAGGATCACTTTTATATACATCGTAACGTCCACATTCTGCATATGTCTTCGTTTCTCTACTTGTCTCTTCTCTAGGCTCGGTTTCATCTCTAGGTGGATAGTCATAAGAGGATCCCGACGTTAACGCTGCGTGAGTCGAGTAGGGCTACACTGGGATTGTACAATGTTGCAGGCCAAGCGCTGCCGTGAACATGCACTATACTACTAATAGTGCCGTGCGATGGCCTGGGTATAATTCGAACTAGGATGCTTAAAAGCATGCAACATATACACACTCTTTCGAATTTCCCACATCTAGAATTACCGTACTGTAAGTAGATTGTGTGTATTCTGCTTATCACCGAGAGTTCTGCGATCTAAGCTTATATACATAGAGTAGTGGACTGATTAATCGCTGGATAATCCACGTGACCATGCAAGGTACCCTGGGCTTACACGTACCCAACCGTGTGACATACAACCTCGACTTCCGTTTACAATGCGAGAATAATAACTCTTGGCTCTGTGCTGGGTAAAGCACGGCGAGTCGTGTTATGCATAGTAACAGGGAGGGCCAAGTTTATGGTGAAAAGATCTACGCGAAGGTCGCGGAAGGCGGTTAGCTTACTTACTAAAGTACGTAAGGTGTTCGCTGGACACGTTTCGAAACACAGAAGTTGTTGCATGGTCCTTGTGGGCCCAGTACAGTTTCGATACTATGGATGGCCGACCTGCACGGGCAAAGAACGTTGGATTTCGACGATTACGAGTGTCTTTTAAGCTTCCCCAGACAAAAGAGTGGCATTGGACAGGTCAGTTTGGTCACTGCCCTAGACTAATAACAGGATCATCCTTTCTCGAACAGCAAAATGGTAGACAGTCGCAACCCGCCCGCCCCCTGCAAAACTTCTTCGAACCGCGATAACACAGGCTACACTGTCCTTCATTGAATCCTCCATACCCACATCCCTCAGCCCGTCACGGGGTTATCTCCTGGCAATTTCGCCACTGGTCCAGTCATGCCCACGTCTTCAACAGGTGCTGCCGTCTCGGGATCTTTGTTTCCTGGACTCCCTAAGCTGCCTCCTAGACGTAAACTGCAGTTCGGATCTTGTAGACCCTGTGAACCCGTGCAAGTGGCAATCGACCGCTCTAATGCGCCTTGGTCGGCCCAGCCGTTGATAAAATCGCCGTGTAGGCCGTAGCCAGTAGCGTCGCCCATAGCATAGACGTAGCGGTTGAAATCAGCAGCAGAGATACGGCCAGCGGTGAAGAAGAACTCATAGAAGAGGGAGAAGATGGCGACGGGATGTGATTGGGGGCATACGCCACCGTTGTAGTCGCCAGTGGTTTGAGGGTAGGACATCTGGAGGAAATAGTGTTAGCAGGAGCGTGATGAGCAGTGGTCCTCAATACCGTGATGCCAAGATCCTTAAGGGACTGATAGTTAGAAGGGAAGGGGCTGCTTACATGACTTTTGTGGTCTGCGCTGTCGAGACTCCGGCCATCCCAGCATGAGGGCATAAACACCTGTGATCGAATCTGAAGGCAAGTTCTCTTTGGCAAGCCAGGGCTGTCTCCTGAATCCTCATGTCGAGCGTTCAGGCAAACGTGCGAAATTGCCCTTTGTCTAAAATCATTTGCATCGTACGTCCTAGCGCAACTGTCAGTTCGTGGACATGTAAAAGACGATTGCCACAAGTTTGCGGTGATAAGGGGTAACTGTATACCTAAGACTAGGATTACCCGCAAGGATGCGAAGGCCAGCAGGGGGCGCGCGAGCGGCTGGGGCGTTGTCGCAGTTCATTCGGCCAGGAGCGTAGTCGCAGGCGCGGTTCAAGTAGTAGACGAGCTAGTTGACACGTTTATGTCAGTGCCAGATCAACGTATGCTCTAGTATTACCGCAGTTACCGCTTGAAGCCAACGGAGTGAAGGAAAAAAGTCTATCAGCACGTACCGATCCCTCGAAAGGAACATAAGTAAAGGTTCCATTCCTGTTCTCATGGTACAGCTGTGGAATCCAGTAGTTGCTCTTGTCCATCGAGATACATGTCGTATCTTTAGCATTGCGTGCTTCTTCGTTGCTGAGGGTTCGTTTGAAGGCAGTGCCTCCAATCACGGCGTGCACATGTCCGCTAGGTACCCCAGGGCTGACGATCGGGTCCGAACGTTGGACGGTGAGTTTTCCGCAGTTGAGAATGAAGAATTGAGCACTGGCGAGAGCGAGGAGCTGGGAAAAGGCGAGGAATGAGGTAAGGGGAGCCATGACTGTAGCTGTTGAGTGGGAACAGAACCGCTAGTGCTTGATAGACGAGAAGTCTGTATTCATAAGAGTGTCTAGGAATGTGGATAATGTTGGTTTTTATATCGTCTTGACAAAGAGAGACTTGGCGGAAAAGCATGTACAACAAAATCCCAATCGTGTTTTTTCGCGCGATCCGCGCCTCGACCGAAATCTTGTTAGACTGGAATCTTAAGACGCATGAGTGCCCGAAATTAAAGTGTTCTGGGAAAAATCTTCGCCATCCTTTGATTTTGGACTATTAGTTTCTGATTCCATTCATTTGTCCTTTCCTCTTTAGTCTTCATCGCCGGTGACAGTGGTGTGAGAGACGCTGACTCCGTTTCTTGGCGTATTCTTTCTTCGCTTGAAACCTCAATCTAGAACCACAAACTAGGAGATGATGTTAGCCACGGAGCTCGCGGGAGATGGTAAACCGTACGAGAACAGCATAATGTATGACAGTTAATCTACCGCTAGTCATCTGTCTTGACCAGTAAATGACAGCCGCGGAGTGCCGGGAAAGCTGCAGAATGGCTCGTTTCCCAGATTGGTAAGTGAAGGCGTGACGGTAACGTTGGCGTCGTCTTTAATTGCAGTGATTGAGGTGGAAGTACGCCAGGGCCGCGTCACTCTGGTATATAGGGCAGTGCAGGCTCAATTGCTATTGGGAAAGGTGTTGACAGCGTTCACAATGCCAATGCCAAAATGGGGTATTAATCTGGAGAGCGTAACAAGGGAAGGGCGTTTGTGCAGATGACGTGGTTGCAGCCAAGAAGTGGGAGACTGGCCAGCAGTGACAAGTACTCTCCCGAAATTGCTTGACCAGGGCACACATTGAAAAAGGCCCGGTGGGGAAGGGAGGCGCTCGTACGTGGCGGCAGACGCGAAGTCAGGGAAGTTTAGTGGTAAAAGAGCGACTGAAGCGAATATGGAGAGAGAAGAGGAAGAAAGTTTGCGCACGCATAGGCATGGTATGAACGCCAGTGTAAGGTATCGCTGGGGAACCTTCCATCTCAGAGGCACAGGCGCTGAGACAGGGAAGGGACGCCACAAACGAGCCACTAGAGAAACCGTTGTTTCATCGCGACCGAACGAATCCTTTGCTCTCGACGACGACATGCCCCGTTCATGGTCGTGCAGGGGCCCGCTAGCTCTGTGAACATGTTTGGCGGGTGGAGGATACAGTCGCGCATGCATTCAAGACGTCCCCCGCACGGCGCCCCAAAACCTTACCTGCTTCCGCGTGCGGGGTTGTGGGGTAGAACCGATAAGGTCGTTCTGGGCAGGCCAGGTCTCGTGCGGATCGATGAATTGTTGGCGCAGAAACCCGCGGAAAGCCGGTAGCTAATACGGCCAAGACGGCATCTTTGTGTTTTCATGTAATCTCTAAGCCTGCAATTACAGGACGCCCTGCCGTTCTTGGCCTAGTTGTCGTTGCAAATTCCATTAGCCCCCTGCGGGTCAATGTCTCGCAAAAGCTTCGTGCGAACATCTGCACTCCTACGGTAACGATGATGCTGATTCTTGCTACTGCAACCATTACTGCCTAGTCAAGCATGGTCTTTTATACCTTGTGATTAGATATGCATGCTATCACGAAGAGCGTGCCGACACGTTGGTATGCAGATCCATCCCTTTCTGTGAGCAAAGCTAGGTAGGTATGTAGATGGATCGTACTATGTGTAAGTTGTCGGTTCCCCACTTGAATTAAATCGGGACTGGCGTTTACTAACGTGTCATATGGTTATTCTAATATCTCGTCCGGTCTTTCTACGCGGCTGCTACGGATACGCTAACCGCCTGAGAATCACTCAAACGCCATTCTACGTACAGCAACCCAGTACGGCATGACTCACCCAACTCTAAAGATTAATCTAATGCACAGGGCACTTTCCTAAAAAGGAATTTGTTCATTTGACTGTAGAGGCCTAGGTCGTGGGAGCTTTGAAGAGAGCATGGAGCCTCCGCAGACAGACTAAACGTATAAATCATAGGTCGCCACTGGGACCAACGTATAGTCTTCACTCTTGGACACTTCTTCACAAGTGCTGTGCTCAGCTGTCTCGATCATCTCTTATAAGATGCCAGCATCAAAGCCTGTCCGTCATCTCTCTACGTTCCAATACGCCTTAGCAGTATGCTCTATAGCATTCTCTCTTAGCCATGCCAAACCCATTGCTGAAACTGCAATCGATGATTTCCATAGTCTCGCATCTTCTCCCAAGCGCGGCCTCATTTACATCCCCCGCGACGGCCACCCCGAAGACGATAAAATTTGGACCCAGCCCGGTTCCACTCTAACATGGTACTACAACTACGGCCCCGACCCCACCTATACCTCCTCTCCTCCCTTGCAACACGTGCCTATGATATTCGGCCCCTACTACAACGACTTCGCCTCCAAGATCCGCGCACGCGTTGCCGCCGGAGGTAAAGTGCCTCAAATCCTAACCTACAACGAGCCTGACCTACCCTTCGAGTACGGTGGCAGCAATGCCGACCCCGCGGTGTGCGCAGAGCACTGGATCTCTGAGCTCGAGCCGTTGCGTCGAGATTTGGGTATCGAGATCGGCGCGCCAGCCGTGAGTGGTTCGGAAGGCGGATGGACTTGGCTGCAGAAATTCTTCACGGCGTGTGCGGGGCGGTGCCATCCGACTTTTCTGCCGCTGCATTGGTATGGAGGGTTTCAGGGGATCGCGGATCACTTGGGGAGAGCAAGGGGGACATATCCGAATATGACGCTATGGGTGACGGAGTGGGCGCCGGCTCATCAGGAGTTAATGGAGTCGCAGGCGAATTTCAACAGCAGTGTTGAGTATATGGATAGATTGGATTATGTGCAGAGGTATAGCTACTTTGGGTCGTTTAGGAGTGATGTGTCGAATGTGGGGCCGAATGCGGCGATGTTGGATGCGAGTGGGAGGTTGACAGATATTGGGTCGTGGTATTTGAATGTGAGGAAGTAGGGGAATCATGTTTGGAAGTGCGTCTAAACAGTTTTTCTGTCCCTGTATGTGCTTCTCCTTAATCTTTGGGCACTATGAAAAGGTTCGGTGGGAAAAAAATGACTTTGTAGTGGTAGCTTATCATAACACAACTACATCGCCATTTGAATGGTTCTGTGATGTGACGAAATGGAAAATGAAAATGCACGCGATATGGAAGTGTAAGCCTAGGACCACATCCCATGACTGCTCTGCAGGCATGACTAATGCGTCCGACTACTTTAGAGCTCAGATCACGCACTCGTACATACACACAACAATACACTCATACATGAGACCCAATACTAGTGCCCCCCTTGCTTACAGGAAGCTTCAGCTGGAAGCCTGTACAGCTTGATTACCGATTCTGCTCTGTGAAACCATTCCTCGCCGGTCAGTACCAACGCATCGTAGCCAAAGGCTAAAATTCGTGCTTCCAGTAACTCGGACGGAAGAAGAGCTTGAGACCAGGCTAGGTCCGCACTGTGAGCTCTGCAAGCCTTCTCGTGGTTTCTGGTAAGCCCATGGATACAGATAATGCCGTCAACAGGCAGCGGCATCTCTGTTGCCTGAGCAGCTCGGGACAGCCTAACTAAACCTGATAACCATCTACATTATGAAGGAGATTGATTCTAGTAGAAAATTTCTTTGTGCGTCCTAAAACTGTTGATAAGAGTATCCCACTTCCCACCGCCATCCGACATGTTTCCCGATCTCATGCCGCTAACATCTAAACAGAAAAGTAGCTCATCGTCTCTGGGTACACATTGATCTCGAAAGAGTCCTATTACCTCTTCTACCCAATGTCCAAACATAAAGAAAGCCCCTCGTACTCGCGCATGCACTGAGCAGTGTAAGAGGCTGAAGCCTTGGTTAGTAGTACTTGGCCTGTGGCCTTCGTTATAGCTGGTTGGGATAGGCTGCAACCCTCGGAGCGTTGTCGGGGCTTCATCGGCGCTCCACGGACCCTTAGAAGTTTCTCGAACCTAGCACTACGTGATACATAGACTCAGCGCAAGCGTAGTGTAGCTTCTCTATCGAATTCATTACTGTTATACCTTGCACTTATGGTCAACCCATCGCACCCTTACAAGCAGCAACGAAGAGTTGCCGCCTGTTGCAAACACTGACGTTTGACTCTCGGTCGAGTAGGGTGCATTCAAGCGAAGCCATCTAATCAGCTGCCTGTTCCGGATTGATCGCCGAATCGAAGGTGGGCCCTAGACGCTTGATATCCGTGGCGACGCTGCTCATCCACAGTGAAACCAGCGGATGGCCTATACGGAGGTGCTCGAAGACGGCCCAAAGCGCTCCTGGTCGACGCGAAAGAGCGGACAAGGGCCGATCTACTGGGGGCAGGGATCTCGATCATCGGAGCGCTTGTGCGAAGGTGGCGTCGCACAAATTCCGCATCAAAAGTAAGTGATAGTGAAAGCGGTGTTAGGTTCTCAATCTGGCGTTGCTGCATGTAATATTGGAGCGGATAATTTGGTGGCTGAGGCGGTCAGTAATTTCTATACAGGACCGTGATGGACGAGACTCGTCCGTCCGAGTCCAGCTTTGCAGATTGGTTGCACATCTAGTCTTACTAGCGCTCCTCTTCCCTGATGACCATGCTGTAACAAACTGAAGGGTGAGTCTCGCTGCTAGTCTTGCCGTTATCCTAGTATACATACACACACGCTCTTTCACATTGCGCTGCCTGTTGGCTAAAGCTTTTGTGGACCAATGGTTATTGGTAAGATTGAAGTCCAGTTTGCGGGTCACATTGCAGCTTTATTCTGCCACATGATCTAGTATTGTAGCAAGATCCTGCTGCGTGCGCGCTTGATTCAACATACTGGATTTTGGGATACTATACCTGAAATTGCCCAATTAAGTCACGAACTTGGGAATCAGGTCTGGGGCGTCTGCCGGGGATAGAGAGTTGTAAGCGAGAGTCTTAGATTCGTCTAGCGACCTTCCTACTGGCAACAAACATTTTTGGGCACCTCCGCCCGTGCAAGGTTACAGAAGTCTGATGGAGTACCATCGCTTCGCTTCGGCGTCTGCTGTGAATGCAGGGGTACGTAGTCTCTACGGCTTGGTGCAATCATCCTACAAGTGTCTCCGTAGTAGTTCAAGTGTAGTCGAAACCAGGGTCGATGAAAGCGCCACATCCTTGGTTGTGAGCGCTCGGAACCAATGCCCGTCGAGATCGCAACCGCGGGCCTGCAACTTACTCCAGATTTTCCGAGCATGTTCTTTTGGCCGCGACGGTGCGTCAGGCTGGAGTGGTAAAATCAGGCTACCGTGTTTTACCCAGAGTTTGAGATACACTTAGAGTTTGCGTTCACTAATTAAAAGTCCGGCACGGACATATTTTGTTGGCAAATTACGGTAACCGCAGACTCCAGGTACCATACACCGCAAACTCTGGGTAAATAACAGTATGTAAAATGGATGGGTTCTGACTGTATCGATTCAGGTGGTCGTAACTCTGTCTTCTGACTCCATGAACGAGCAAGCGTGGTGCGCGCTTCACGGAGGGCTAATACAGGCGGAAGGCCGGAGACACTAACACCGAACAGGTATTGGTGCCCGGTACTAGTAACGGAGACTAACCAATTTAAAGAACCCATTTTCTAGATCTCAAACGTCTGGCCATTAATAGCGTTTCCACTGGACAATTACGTTAGACTTTGAGAGATTTTAGTCGGAAAGTCAAGTGGAGAGTACGGTGTTGGAGATTGAATGCACGTCATTTCTACTGTCTGTTTTGATGGTGGAAAATGGCCGACTGGTCTCACGGTAGCGTCAGGAGCGATCGGAGAGCAGCGAGATCGTGTTAGATGACATGTCGATCCTAATTACGGAATCATGAATATACCTTGGCGATGTGCTCCAACACCGCTCATTGTTCTTGCTACCAAGCAATAGCGGCGGCAGTGCAGCGACAGCATCATCCGGGGTTTCGCGAAATTCCGCGTCCGGAGACATTGAATAAAGCCAAGGGATAGCAAGAGAAGCAGCGGAACTATTGGCTCGGCCGTGCCTTCGCAAACTTGGTCACTTGCTGTACCACCGCGGCTCGTGGCTCCAGCTTCTTAATCTGGCTAGTCCTTAATTTTATAATTTTTTCCGTTAGAAGTGCCCTGATAATACCCTGATCAGAAGCGACATCATGTGCTACGCTAACTACAAGCGTGCTTCGAATCCCGCAATTGTCTCAGCGTTCCCATTCCCCCAGATTTCCCAGAATTCGAAAGCTAACCTGGTCGCTCCGATATCTGACGCCAGTACTACCCCGTAGCATCACCCGACCTGAGAATCCTTTTTCACGCAACACGGCGTGCTGACCACGGGCGAATTTCAAACAAGTGCCTAGCCTATGACCGCTTCACATCAACTTCTCTCTTCACCACGGAATTGGCGACCTTGCGGACCGTTCATTCGTGCTTAGGGCTTGCCCGCCATACGACTGGAAAAGTCCCATCACGCGCCGCTATTAAAGCACCAGTAGACGGCTACTGGGGCCTCGCGGCAAAAACAGGCTTCACTTCCACAAGCTGTGGATCTTTGGCGCTAACGGGCCGGGCTGGCTGTATGGAGATGATGGTTCGTCACCGCACAGAGAACATGTACCCCAGACGATTTTACTTTCGGACCTTATGACGGCGCCCTAGTCCTCAAATGCAGTATTTAGTCTGCAATATGAAAGACAGTTAGATTGTGCCCTGATCATCGGCCATAGAGAGAAGGAGGAGATATACTGTTGGCGGAATCTCGGGATAATCTCAACCACAGAATATGAACGAAATGCGTGTAGACTACCAAACACACTCTTGGAGAGAACTGTATACCTAATATGAATGAGGCCGCCATGGTTTGTTCCACTATTGCGCGAGCCACTCATCGCGCTTTTCTGACCTCCAGATTGATACCTCCTGAATTAACAGCACAGGAGCTGTCCTGTTTCACTACTTTACGTCACCAATTCTAGATATGTATAAGACTATGGTGCTTTAACGTTGCGCTTCTGTTCTTCCAGACTAGAGCACTCTGTACCAACTATGGTTCTCATCTCATGCTTTTTGACTTTGACTTTCGTTCTGAGTGCTGTCTCAGAGCATACATGGCTATATGAATATTCACGCTGATTTTCTTATATTAATATTATATTCAACTTATCTAGCAAAACACATTCATATAAAATATTCACGCATATTCATATAAGGGCTTACGTGATGCCTAGCCACTGCCACGACGTGAAGAAAACAATTGATGTACCTGTATAGCCCAAAAACTACCTCGATTACTCCTATCTGACCTGTATGTTATTAGATATCTCCCTCTATAGCCTCTGGATCACACGGGAGGCTTATTCCGCCCTCGGCTGAGGGTTTAATATGTCCCTCTCGCAGCCAGTTGCCGATACACTCAATCTTCTCAATGCTCTTAATCCGTAATCGTAGCCTATCCCACCTAGCTGTGTGCCTAGCTCCTGAAAAGGTCCGCTCTGGCTCCGCTGACTCTGCTGGTATAGAGAGGATATCGATAGCCATGCGGCTAAGCCGTGGGTAAGCTATACGAACGTCCTCACTACACCACCATTGAAGAGGCGTAGTGCGCTCAGCGAGCGCGATAGAAGCCTCTGAGATAAAGTTATCCAACCCGTCCTTGCCACATGTATTTGCCATAGTCTTATTCCGCACCTCTAAGCGCATCTTTGAGAGCATCGTGTCCTTCTTTCGCTTTAATGAAGCAGGTACAGCTAAGGATTGCTCCAATAGCTGTGTCTCGACATCGTGATTATACTCTTTCTCCTAAAGTCCACGGGCGGTGGCAATCGCGCTCTCGTGCCATTCCTCGGGCCAGCATTCTTCGATGTAGCTCTTGCGTTTAGAAGGATCGAGAAGGAGAGCAGCGGCGTATACAGGGACATACTCAGTCATAGTATAATACTTATCGAGTATAAACCAGCACATATCGATAGAGTGAACTATGCGATCATCGCGAGTGTTCGGCTGCGAGTAGTGGGCCTAATTAGCTCATTAGCATGCCATATAAGCTATGGATAAGTAGAAAGATGTGAAATTAGCCGTATACCTTCCATTTCTCGCAGTGTCCTAGGAGAAGGTCCAGCAGCTCAAGTGACTGTGAGATTGATGCCATGTCGCCTTCAGCTTCCAACGTAGCCTCATGGAAAGGTTGGAGGAATTCTAGCGTTCTGCCTAGCATCTCCCAATCCCTACTAGTAAGAGTATTGCCTTCCAGATCCTTATCATGCTCAGCAGTAAACTGGATGATCTGTGTCTTCTCCTTTAACGCAATAGCGATAACCCTGTACCATGAGGACCATCTCGTGATATTGTCGACACCCAGCTGCTTACCTACAGTATGGTACCATTGTTCGTTATGTAAAGCTGAGCTACGTACGTAGACTGCAAGCATATGAAGCTTTGCTAGCGCTGGAATGCCTTGCCAGCCAGCGAAGCGCTCGTCGTTGTTGCTGGCTTGCTGCTGCGTAATTGCGGCTCGCTTGCCCCTCACCTTTGCAGGTCTTCTCGTAGGCTGCTCCCTCCGCTCTTCCTGCTGTATTGTGGTATCCAAACGTGCCGCAATCTCCGCCGGATCCAGCTCATGTAATTGCTGTGAGAACTTCTCTAGCATAGTTGAACCGGGCTCATCAGCAGTAGCTTCGAGTGCAGCTCTAAGTGCTTCTTTTGAGCGAGCGAGAAGGAAGGCTTGTAAGGCGAGATTGATAATATGGTCGATGCAGCGGATTCTGCGGCATTTGTGAGGATACTCGACCTATATAATAATTTAGCATGGTGTACAGCAGCATTAGCAGCTTAGTATGAGGTAGACTTATACCTAACTGCGCCTCGAAAATCTTTGCTAGCTCCTCTAAACAGGTGTCGTTTGATGTAGCATTATCGCCTGTATAATAGCCAAGGTTTTGAGCAGTGATATTGAACTTCTGTAGCGTACTGGCAATCAACCTAGCCTGCACAGCGCCAGAATGGCTGTATTTACACTCTAGAAGTCCTAGTAGTGCTTTCTGAAGCTTAAAGTCCTCATTAGCCCATTGAGCGCATATAGCGAGTACGCCATGTCGATGTGGTGATGTCCAGAGATCAGAAGACATGTGTATCTTCTTCGACTGCGCTGTTTGAAGGCTCTCAGCAAGCTGTGAGCTCTATAACTGGTAGTTCGAGTTAATATAGCCCATAGCCTGCTTTCGGTCGTTGATGAGAAGGCCTCCAATAGCTGAATTGCATGCCAGAGCTAGGTCTCGTAGCTCGGAGTACTCAACTGCCGAAAACGGCAGTCTGCGCCTTGTTAGAAGCCCCACAACTGCCTCAATGTAGACTTGCTTATGAAAACAGTTGCGGAGAGCAGCCTGAGAAGGACGAGAGATGATATACGAATCGATAGCGCCAGACGAAACGCCCGAGGTAGATATGCAAGGTAGAGTATCATTTGCGGCCTCGCTCGATCATATAAGGGCTCGGTGGGCCGTTTCTGCATGGTGTATAGCGTTGCCAGGCACTCGGTTCGACCATGGAGGATCCTGACAGTGAAGACAAACGTACGCACGATGTCCCTTCGTCCTTCTGCGCTTTGGGCCAGGTTCAACTTGGAAGTGTTCGTCGGGATAATCTACATAGAAAAAGGCGTTGAAATCCCATGAAAGTTTCGATGCAAACGAGCCGATAGAAGGGTTATGAGTCCATGAGGTTGATATCTCAGAAGCCTGAGAAGCCATAGATGCTAGTAAGCAGTATGTCAATCCTGGGGGGGATGCCGGCAGGAGTAGGCAGGGAAGGAGATAAGAACTGAGTTTTTCCTGTAAAGGTTTCTAGCTACATATATATACAAAGGAGTGAACTATCCAACGTAGTGCCGAGTAGGCTGCAGGTAGGCAGTAGCCGAGCTAGCGCAGGCAGTAGCAGGCAGCATGTTCGGTAACATCTGAACTCACGCGAGAGGCCAATAGTTCATGGGTTAGATGCTCTAATTGAAGAGCTTTCTTTATGATATAGCTAAGAGATTAGATGTTATATGAGCCAATTAGAACCACCCCTCTTTTATGAATATGCATGAATACAGAGACGTAAGTACATATTATATTCATGTGTTATATGAATATGAATATGAATATGAATGTGGATATATTCATGCATATGCATATAAGACGTTATTTGAATATTCATATAGCCATGTATGCTTGCTGTCTTCAAACTCGTGTCTAAGTCGGCGTCTTCATCTGCACTGCCGGATAGATTCGACTTCACCGTGGCGTGGATAGGAAACTCCATGGATATATATTCAGCGTCAAATGTCATGTTGATCGAGATGGTGCAGCTCCCACTGCTATTGACATGGACACTTCAGGTGAAGCGCAAGCCTGTGGCGATCGGCATTATAGAGGATGACCTGGTGCTGGAGATGCTGTCGCGGCCGTCGATGGTCAATTAGTACGATGTCCACCGCGAACAAAATGGCTAGATCAAGTGTCCTCTGTGTCCCGACCGAATGATATGCGTCTTGGCCAGTAAACGACAGACGCGGTGTACGGCGGAAGCTGCAGAACGGCACTTTTCCCAGATCGGTGGGTGAAGGCGTTACGGTGGCCATGATGTCCTCCTCGATCGCGGTGATTGAGGTGAGAGTGCGTCCATGCCCAGCGTCACCCCGGAACATTAAGGAATTCTAGGGCGACTGGGTTGAGCTGCGGGACACGAGGCTTGCCGGGAGGCGTAATGCAGGCTCAGTTGACATCAGGTGTTCGCAACGTCCACAATGCCAGAATGAGGGTGTAAGCTGGAGAGCCTAGCACGGAAAGACGGCTGAGTAGGTGACCTGGTTAAAGGCAAGGAGCGGGAGACTGGCCAGCAGCGATAGGTACCCTTCCGAAAGTCCCCGACCAGGGAACCTATGGAAAAGGCCGGTGGGGAAGGCACTCGCATGCGGCGCAGACACGAAGTAAGAAAAACCTAGGCGGTAAAAGAGCGACTGGAGCGAACGTGAAGCAGAAGAGAAAAAAAAGTCTCTAGTGCGTACGCGTGGGCCTGACGAGCTAGAAAAGGTAAAGTCCGACTATCACCGGCTATTAGAGAATATGGCGGTATTAGCGCCAAGTGCAAGGGGATGGCCTTCCATTCCGAAAGCACGGGCGCTGAAACGGGGAAGGGACGCCACACGCAAGCCACTAATTAGAAGAACGGTTGTTTCACCGCCCCGATCCAAGGCTTTGCTCTCGACGACGACGTGTCCCGTTCATAATCGCGCAGGAGCCCGCTAGCTTGTGAACACAATTGGCTGGCGAGAGAGACGGCAGCGCATGCTTCCAAGACTTCCCTGCAGCGTGCCCAGAACCTTACCTGCTTCCGCGTGCGGGGTTGTGGGGTAGTCCACCAACAACGCCATTCTTAGCCAATCAAATCTCATGCGGAGTGCTGGAATTCGAGCAGCGAAAATCCGCGAAAAGCCAGCACCTAAAACCGACTTTCTGCATTTGAAGGTGAATGGGACGCCCTTACGTTCCCGGCGGCCTAATGGACATTCCGAAGACGACCGGCCACGTGCGGGCTGGTCGTCGCAGAAACTTCGTGCGAACATCCGCGCTCTTGCAGTAATGGCAATGCTGATTCTTGCTACTGCTTCCATCACTGCCTAGCCAGGCATGGTTTTTTCGCTTTGTGACTAGGTATGCATGCTAATATGAGGTACGGGTCGAAACTTTCTATGCCGCTTCCATCGTCTTCCTTTGGTGGCGTCAGGCCGCGCGGGGAGGAACAGCTTTGATGGCTGAGGATGAACTGCCATATCTAACAATCAGCGGGTACATGTGAGCTGTGGCTCAGCCAGAATTGATGCTTAGGTCCGTCAGTTTCCCATCATCACCAAGTCCATTACGCCCACCTTGCTGCGCGACATATGAGGCCATTGCTCGCTCGACACTATGCCACTCACTTCGCCGTATGCAGCGCTAGAGTTCCACCGGAATAGCCCTATCCTGCCAAATGAGAAAACCAATCTCAACCCTCATTGCTCGCCGTACGCCAATGGGCCGTTACCCGCAACTCTCGGCAATCCGCGAGACGGAATGCTTCACCAGCAACGGGGACGCAGCACGGAAAAACCGGGACCCGTACGATGCAGGATCACTCGAGCGTGTGATCAATGTCATCGATTACGCACGAAATGCGATGGCCGACAATTGTATGAATTTCTATCTCGACATCTGCACGTATACTAACGAGAGACAGGTGCGCGCACTGCAAAGGTATGTCTGCTCTAACTTTAATGATACCAGCGCAACAAAGTTCCGGAGAGTCTCAGCCTGCTGAGGGAGCTCAGGGCCTCAGGCTGCGTACTGATGAGCCTAAGCCGCCCCTTAATATATGTTGAAAGCCTTCTGGAGGGCCAATACCCCCTTTCGTCTTCTGCCACCCAGATACAACCATATTTGATAACCAAGCTAACACAATAACAGAGTCAGGTCTAACATGCGAATATACCCGCGAACGAAAGAAGCGCGGCAAAAGATCCAGACAGGACATTGCACAACAACAAGGTATCGCGGCAGCAGCAGCCGCAAGTGCCACACAATCATCCGAGGACTCAACCACTGCTACTCCACAGGCACAAGAAAACACTGTCGAAACTAGGCACAGTGCCGGCCCTATGCTGCGTGAGGGCCAGAAGCCGCTCCCAGGGCTCTCCGTACCAGACCAACCGGCCAGCGTAGCCACGAAGAGGGATATAGAGCCAGCATCGATATAT